CAACGACGACAGCGAAGCGCTCCCGGGACCGGACTGAAAAATCAGTGATCGCGGGTAGACCGTTTCGCGTGATTCCCGACACTCACATCCCCTCCGACCCCCTCTCTGGTTCGACGTCGCCTGGCTGCTGATTTGGTCTCCTCTAGACGCACCGCTCAATCAGATTCCAGTGAGTACCGCATGCAACCTTATCGGCGCACATGGTGTGCTCGGACTCGCCTTTCTGTGCGACAGTGCAGTACCTCCTTTCGGACCTCGGGGAGAGTCTGGCTTTCGCTAGCTGCCCGATGTCACGGCGTTGCGACAAGATCTTGGCTCTGGGACGGGGCGCCGGAACATCTTTGAGCCACGAGTTTCTATGCGCCCGATTACCTCGGAACCTCATCCGACGCGGGACTCGCGCGGCATGCGCGTCATCAGACCGTATGTGCAGCGACGGTTCCATTGTCCGCAGTTGACCTGTGACGAGGTTGTCTTCACTTAAAACGAGGCCCTGCTCTGTCGACGGCGCTGACTTTCCCAGCCCTCCTTTCCCACCACCCAAAACCGAGCCATGATTTCGCCCAGGCTCAAGTACGTGCTTGCGTTCGTCGGCACGCTCGTGACGCTGCACCTGCTGTTGTCGATCCACCCGACATACCGAGACCACACGCTTCCGAAGGCGCTCCGCCCCGGCTCGAGCTCGAGCTCGGTGACCGACGAGACGATCGTCGACATCCCGGAAGCCGCGGTGCCATCGCCGCCGACGTCCGAGGAGCTGCGTATCGCCGAGGAGGCAAACAGCAGCCGGAAGAAGGCGAATGCGGCCTTTGTCGTGCTGGCGCGCAACAGCGATCTGTTCGAGTTCCTCTCCTCGATGCGCCAGGTCGAGGACCGCTTCAACCACTGGGCGCGCTACGACTGGGTGTTCCTGAACGACGAGCCGTTCGACGACCAGTTCAAGCGGTACACGTCCGACCTTGCGTCGGGCGAGACCAAGTACGGCCTGATCCCGAAGGAGATCTGGGAGCAGCCCGACTGGATCGACGAGGACAAGGCGGCCAAGGGCCGCGAGCAGATGATCAAGATGAAGGTTATCTACGGCCACTCTGTGCCGTACCGGAACATGTGTCGGTTCAACTCTGGCTACTTCTTCCGACACGAGCTCGTGCTCCCGTACGACTACTACTGGCGCGTCGAGCCCGGCATCAAGCTCTTCTGCGACCTCACCTATGACCCCTTCCTCCTCATGCAGGAGCAGGAGAAGGTGTACGGCTTCACGCTCTCGCTGCTCGAGTACAAGGAGACGATCCCGACGCTGTGGGAGGCGACAAAGGAGTTCATCAAGGAGAACCCCCAGTACGTCGTTGACGGCAATGCGGTCGACTTTATCTCGGACGACGGAGGCGAGGACTACAACCTCTGCCACTTCTGGAGCAACTTTGAGATTGGCGACATGCGCTTCTGGCGCTCAGAGGCTTACATCAAGTACTTTGAGCATCTCGACAAGCAGGGCGGATTCTATTATGAGCGCTGGGGAGACGCGCCCGTTCACTCCCTCGCCGCCGCCCTCTTCCTCCCCAAGGAGAAGATTCACTGGTTCGACGACATTGGTTACCGCCACGAGCCCTTCCAGCACTGCCCGCAGGGCAAGTCGAACCGCGACCAGAAGTGCTGGTGTGACGAGAAGGACTCGTTTGACTGGCACGGCTACTCGTGCACTCGCCGATGGGTCGCCCAGTTCCCGGACGGCACCATCCGCAAGCCCGCCGACGGACAGCGCACGGCCCCGTGGAAGCGCTCTGACATGCCCGAGCAGCACCCCCTCATCAACGCCACCGCTGCCTAAGCATGGCCACAGCATACCATCACCCTCCCTCCATCATAGACGTCTTGCAGTTCAAGCCATATCAGCCATGTATGATTTATCAATACAATCTTATGGAGCTATCTATGTACAACAACAAGTGCACTGAACGTTCGAGAGCAGAAGAGGGTGCGTGATCGCTACCATCAGGCGTACGAGGCGCGAGGCATCTGGACGGCGCGGGCCACTTGAATCAGCTCGCTCCTGGTCTCGCCACTCACTCATTTCAGAGGTAGCCCACATCTGCTCGGGCGCGACGTAATAGGTGGGGTTCTGGTTGACTGTGGTGTTAGTTGAGCGCGAAAGCGTGGTAACTGAACTCACCCATGACGCGCTTGCGGACTAAGTCGGCGTAGTTCTGGTTCGCATTCTGCGCCTTGCCAGTTTTGGCATAAGAGTTGACAGGGTTGAGGAAGCCAGCCTGCTGCATCTGCTGCATTTGCTGGCGGTGGTGCAGAGGGACGCGGTTGAAGTTGACGCCACCGTGCGAGTTGGTGGGGAGGAAGGGGAGTGGCTGACGCGAGGGCAATTCTTCTGCCGTTAACATTGAGTTCACAACAGACTTACCCATATTAGCTGGGCGGAAGCCGAGACCACCGTTATCCTTGTCGTGCGTGGGAGGAGGGATGGGAGGCTTGCCATTGACGTTGGACGAGATGCTGGTCGTGACCTTCTTGCCTTGGAACTCTCTGCACGTCAGTTATCGTTGTCCCACTCCCAACGGACTTGGTGTCAAACCACTTCATGAGCTGGATGAGAGCCTGGGGCGAGTGGCAGTTGATGAACGCGGTGCTGTTGTTAGCTTTCCACGCAGCCATCCAGCTTACCCTTTGCTCTTGCCGTTGCACTTGTGCTCGAGGAAGGTGACGTCCTTGAAGGTGACCTCGACACCGGCGGCAGTGGCAGCCTCGATGAGGTCAGCGTCCGACGTGAACCAGTGCATGCCCGAAACCTGGAGGACAGTGGGGATGACGCTGGCACCAGCCTTGACGGCCGCCTCGACCTTGGCGGCGACAGAGTGCGCACCCTTGGAGGGTGGGATGTTGATGTGCTTCTGGGTCTTGGGAGTGACGGGCGGTGCCTTCTGAGTCGTGGTCTGCGCTTCAGGCTGCTTGCCCTTGTCACTGGCAGGAGCGTCGTCTTCCTTCTTCTTCGGCTGAGCGTGGGCCTTGACCGCCTGGGCGATGAGGTCCTCGAGCTTGGGGGCAGGAGCGAAGGGCTCAGCGCGAGGCGACAGAGGAGTAGGAGTCTTGACGGGCTCGGGAGGCTCGACGGCCTTGAGCGCGGAGCTGCGCGACACGTCGGCAGTCGGAGTGCTGGGAGCGTCGGTGGAAGCGGACGAGGAAGGTGTGTCATCCTCATCGCCTTCCTCCTCAGTGTCGTTCGTAGGCTGCTCGGCAGTGGAGGCGTGCTCGTCGGTCTTCTCGGGCTTCCCCGCGTTCTCCTCGGCGGTCGAGTCGGCAGGCTTATCGTCTTTCACCTCGGCCTGGAGGTCGGTGGTGTCAGTGCGAGGGGTGAGGGAAGGCAGCCAGCGGTGAAAGGAGGAGGGAAGGCAATGTCAGCTCCTGCTTTCATTGAACCCGGTGCCACTCACGACAGTATTCTTGGTCTCCTCGACGACAACAGTCTTGACGTTCTTGTCGGTGTCGGTCATGGCGAGGGATGCTGTGAGAGTTGGAAGGTCAGATGTCACCAGTGATTTTGGTAGTGCACAAGCAGGAGTGAGGGAGTGTGCAACGAAGACAGTCGCGAGGAAGGTGTGCAGTATATCTGGGGCGTCAGGAGGGTGAGTGGACCGGCCACTGGGTCGGACTGTCTCAGCTTGTCGTCACTAGCGCTGCGCCGCTCGCAGTCCAGGCCCTTGTCAGCGAGGAAGACACCATTTCTTGCGGGCATGCGAGTTGCCACCGAGCAGCCGTGCTTCCGAGAAGGAAATGATCGAGCTATGCATACTGAGTCTGGTCGGTCCGTAACCGGTGATGAGAGTTTTGATATTATGTCTGTGGTAGTGTCTAAGCGATCGCGCCGTTCTTGCGCAGGTCCTCGATCTGCTCTGGCGTGTAGCCGGCCTCCTTGAGCACCTCCTCGGTGTGCTCGCCCAGGTACGGCGGGGGACGGTAGGCCTGTTGTCAGCTTTGAACGAGATCAGGCAGCTCACCTTGAGCTTCTCGCCGTCGTATGTCACGGCCGCGGCCGCGAGCTTGATCTTGCCCGCGCGCGGGTGCTGAGGTTAGCTACGAATCTCCAACTGCTAGCTGAATGCACTCACCTCGACCTCCTCGACAACACCGCGAGCCTTGGCCTGGGGGTGGTTGAACGTCTGTCCGATGTTGTTGATGGGGCTGGGGTGTCAGTTTCGTAGCCGAAGAGAAACTATGACTTACGCAAAGGGCAGTCCCTTGCCGGTGAGCTTCTCGACCCAGTCCTGCGTCGACTTCTGCTTGAGCACCTCGCTGATGAGGGGCACGAGGGTGTCGCGGTTCTTGACGCGGGCGGCGTTGACAGCGAAGCGCTCGTCGGTGACCCACTCAGGCTTGTCGAGCACGTTGTTGCAGAGAAGCTTGAACTGTCCGTCGTTGCCGGCCGCCACCATGATCCATCCGTCACCGGTCGGGAAGACCTGGTACGGCACGATGGAGGGGTGCGCTGTTCCCCAGCGGCTCGCCTCCTGACCGCCGATCAGGTAGTTGGAGCCGATGTTCGCGAGAGAGGCGATCTGGAGTCAGCTCGTACGACTAACGGCAAAGCTCACCTGGGACTCGAAAAGGGAAGTCTCGATCCGCGTGCCCTTGCCGGTCTTGCCGCGCTGGATGAGGGCGGCGAGGATGCCAGAGGTGGCGTAGTGGCCAGTCAGGATGTCCGTGACAGCGACACCGACCTGTGCGTCAGTTCAGTTGCTCGGCCTGCCAACTCACCTTGACAGGGGTACCGCCGCGCTCTCCCGTGATATGCATGAGACCAGCCTCGGCCTCAATGACGACGTCGTAGCCGGGGTTCTTGGCGTATGGCCCAGTCGAGCCGTAGCCTGCTGTCAGCTAACGCGGCTACTACAGCTTCTGGTGACTCACCGGTGACAGAGCAGTAGATCAGGCGCGGGTTGATCTTGTGCAGCGTCTCCCAGTCGAGACCGAACTTGGCCAGCTTACCCGGAACGCTGATGTCAGCTCATCTCAAGCTTCGGAAAGCCGCTCAGCCATACTCACTAGTTCTCGACAAAGACGTCCGCGTCCTTGATCATCTTGTGCATCGCGTCCTGCGCCTCCTTCGCACGGAGGTTCATAACAATGCTGCAACGTTAGCTGTGACGGCCCGATTCTTCTAGCTGCTGCTCCATCACGCCGCTTGGCTGCTGCCAATACCCAGTCACACAGTAGAGCCAAGCGAACGGGCAGGTAGTTGGTACTCACGAGCGCTTGTTACGGTTGGCCTGGAGGAAGTAGGCGCTCTCAGCGGGGAGGTCGGGGCGGGGTCCGTTCTCATTCTTCGGCGCGGTGGGAGGAGCCCAGGACCGGGTGTCGTCGCCGGTAGGCGATTCGATCTGGCGGTCAGCTCATTGCCCGGAGTGAAAGAGCTCTGCACCTCGCCACCGTCTCCCTTCCTCATCTCACGACAAACGCTGACGTCTTGGAAGGCCAGGACCAGTCCAGAACAGTCAGGCGCCATAAAGGAGGCAAGAAAGGAGGAAGGAGGGACTCACCTTGACGACGTCGGCTGATCCCGAGTTAGCTCGGAGTATCCAACAACTCGAAATGACTTACCACCGAGGTCAGCCTGGGTGTCAGCTATGCAAGAACGGCGGAGAGCTTACGAGGAACATGGTCGCGGTCGGGCCGGCGAGCACGCGCGTGAGGTCCACGACCTTGATACCGGCCAAAGGACGGTCAGCCTGGGTCGTCGAGAGCGCGCGGAAGCTAGCGCGCGAGAGCGAGGGGCGCGCAGAGCGCAGAGCGGTGAGCCGGAGGAGCATGTCGGTCTTCACAGGTATTCGAGGGTCGGGGAAGAGTCGAGAACAGATAAAGCGTCGAGAGCGAGTTATAGTCGGGAAACTAAGGCTGAGACCTTGCGGGTTGTGTGTGGTGCTGGTCGCGGTGCGGCTCAACCAGGCCCAGCTGGGTTATCACTCCAGCCAGGGTCGCACTTGGCCGACGTTGGCGGCGCTAACCGACCGTACTCCCTCGGTCCCTGCGTGCCTTCGGAGGGCCGGTGGGCACCGACCGACGACCCAACGACATGTCAAGCGGCAGGACGGGGCAGACCTAGACGAGATCTGAGCGATGCTGGCGACGTAGCCGTTGCCGCATGCAGTTGCCTGAGTCTGCTGGGGTCCGTGTCTCGCATATCGTGCGCGTGCACGCTGGTCACCACCCAGTGTTCCCCCGTCACAACAAACGACCTCCACCCGGCCCCAATGCCGAATACCGAGCTATCATATCTCCGCAACCTCGCCTCTTCCTTCCTCAACCATTCTTCTCCAGACATTGCGAACATTGCGAACAGTGCTCACGTGCGCTAGAAGCTCGATGCCGCCGGGTAAATGCAATGGGGATACTAATACTGTGACATGGGACTAACTAAACACCTCGGAAGCTTGCTGCTCCAAAGTCTATCTCTGTATCTCCTGAGCTGACTGCCCAGCCATCTTCGGTCGCCGCCTGCTTTCGGCGCAGGCTCACGCACCATAAGCGTCCAGCAGCTCGCCGTACGCCTCGGCCTCGTCGTCGGCGTCGGCCGACTCCTGCGGCATGTGTCCGCGCCTGCTCCCGCGCGAGATGGAGCGCTTCAGCGGCTGAGGCGTGCGCGTGCCCTCCGGCTCGGTCGCGGGGCGGATCATCCGGATCACGCTGAGCAGCTCGCGGCCCGCTCGGCGCTTCATGACAGTCTGGCGTTAGCTTGCAGTAAGGGCACTAGACAGCGGGGCGTTGCACTTCAATGCTGGTTGGAGCGGCACACCAGCGCGACACCCATCACCCCTCGCCACCACTTTCATGTGCTAACGCTCGCACACCCTGGACTCACCTTACACTCCAGGCCCATGCCGCGCATGCGCGCGATGATCTCGTCGGGCTTGTTCTGGTGGATCGCGACGAGGTAGAACCGTCCTCCAGGCGCAAGGAGCGTCGGGATTCGCTCCAAAACCAGGTTCGTGACCTGCATGCCGAAGCTGCCTCCGGCCCAGGCGCCACCGATATCACGACCCGCCTGCGTCGCAGTCATCTCGTCGTTCTCCGTCTCAACATACGGCGGGTTGAACACGAGCAGGTCGATCTTGCCGGAAATGCGCTGCTGGAGAGGGTCGACGAGGTTGGCCAGGATCGGGTTCAAGGCGACCTTATTCGCCTCGCCCGTGCGGCGGGTCGCGTCAGTCGCGTGCTTATTGATGTCCGTCGAGAGCACGCATACCTCGCCTGGCGGGAACATGGTCGCAATGAACGTGCTCGCGATGCCGGAGCCGGAGCCGATCTCGAGCGCGAGCGCCGGCTTCGACGCACGCAGCACCGAGGCGTCCGCCTCGAGCGCGTCGAGCAGGATGAAGCTGTCCTCCGCCGGCTCGTACACATGCTCGTAGTCGTCCTCCGTCAGGTGCGCGATCTGCGGCGTCGGGATCGAGACCTCCATGGCTTTCGCGGCGTCGAGGACAGACTGCGGGATCGTGGGCGTCGTGTCTGGTTTCGGCGAAAATTTCATGGGTGAGATACCAAGCCCTGAGTTGGGCCCCAGAGGCGACCCGTCGCTGTCGCACGGCGTACTGCTCACCGTCGAATTCACCGAGTCGCGCCGCGTGAACTCGGAGTCGCTGCCGTTCGGCGATCGTCCATGCACGTCAACGACGTAGCGCCTGGGTGATCGCGGCGGGTTCCGGCTGCCAATGCGGTACAGGTGCGTCTGACCTTCAGGAGGCGTGTTCGGGGACGGGCTCCGGGTGAAGCGATCCCTCCGCGAACCGGTCGACGAGTTGCTCGCCCTACGAGCAGAGCTCGACAGCAACAGAGGGCGCGGACCAGTGTTCTTCCGCGGCTCCTCCTTCGGCACTGGCGGCGCACCATGACCAAGCGACAGTGCCAGCCCAGAGAGACGGTCCTGCAGGCTGGTAACCGACAGGTTGGAGGTGGATGCAAGGCTGTCGCTGCGGTTACGTGCGCCGTTCACACCGCGCTTGTCCGGCGAGCCGCCGTTCAGGACGCCGTTGATGGTGTTCCGCGGTGATCGGCCCGGCGTCGACGGCAGCGATGTGAAGTGCTCAAACTCCTCGCCCGACACTGAGCCCTCGTCGTCACCCCTAGTGCGACCTTTGAGCCAGCGCCCGGCCATGCCCTTCCAGTCCGGTGCCGGGGCTGCGTTCCACTTGGCCGATGCGGCGATGTAAGAAGCGGTGAAGTTGCTCTTTGCCTTGGCGATCGATGCGGCGGCGTCAGACTCGTACGCCTGCGACCATAGTCGTCCCGTGCTCGCTGTCGCGCCTTGGGCGGCGGACGCAGCAGCCTGTTTCAGCTTGACGGAAGCCCAGATCGAGTTGCCCGCCTCGTCGCGCGACGCTGATGGTTCCGGATCGTCCGGGTTTTCGCCGTCCGCGACTGCGGAACGTCGCGCCTGGTTCAGCTCAAACGCCATGTTCAGAAGCAAATAAACGCCGCCGACCTCTTGCAGTGGGTAGTTGCGGAACAGCTGGAGACACCGCACGAACGCCATGTCCGGGTCCTCAGCTTCGCTCATCTGCGTCGGTTGGTTCTCCTCGTCCCATAAACCCTTCTTCTTCGGCGAGCGCTGGTGCGGCGGGTAAATGATGTGCTTCTTAGCGAGGCAGATCATGGCGACACAGAGATCGACAAGCAGGTCGAGTTTCGGGTGGAAGTCGGGAACCGCTGGCGGCTGCGCGAACATGTAGTCCCAAATCGGGAGGAGATGGCGTCGGTCGTGCGCAAGCAGAGATGTCATCCACTGAAACGTGTACAGCGGCGTCGACGGATCGAGGTTGCGCTCGCACAGCACCTTGTACACTGGCTCGTCCGCCCATCGCACTCGGCGGCCGACCTTGGCCAACGCCATGTTCAGCATGTCGTCCTTCCCCGGCGTTGCGGACACAATGTCGCCGAACTCGCCCATCAGAGCGCTGAACGCCCAGTACGCGTCCTCCTCAGCATGTCGAGGGCGCAGTGTCGGGTCGCTCGGGCGCGACGTCGCCTCCAGGTACACGAGATAGAGCGGGATGATGACATCGACGAAGGTCGGGCTGTACGCCCACTGCGGGTTCGTTCGGCAAAAGACGTAGAGCAGACGAGTGAGAGCCTCGGCGTGCGTGTCGGGCTTCAGGATCGCGTCCGAGACGAGGATCGGGGAAGATGTGCCATCGCGCGAGATCGGCTCGGTGGCTGGCAGAATCGTGATCGGTGACGGGGGCTGGGACGTCGACTCGCCCGGGATCGTGAGTGAGAGGCCAGGCGTCGGCATCTTGCCGCCGTGACTGGTTGCTGTCGGGGAGAGCATCGCCTGCCCGATGAGGGTAGTCGGCTCCTGCTCACCGGCGCTAGTCGTTCTTGGCTCTTGGCTCTCCTTCTCCTTGCCCTTGGACTTTGATCCGCCCGCGCTGCCAGCCTGGATGAGCTCGAGACGCATAAACAGCGCGCGGCGTGATAACAGCGGCGGTGTGCGCTGACGCTTGCGCGACTTGTCCTGTCTCCGGGCGTTCTCCTGGTCTGCATCTTCTTCCGACGACGATCCTGAAGAGAAGGACGAGCCGTCTGGTGGCGGTGACAGCGGCGTCGATCGCGACGTTGCCGTAGCGGACTGTAAGATCGGGAGGTCTTGGCGCTCGACATCCTTCGAGATGCGGACGAGGAGTGCGTCGAGAGGTTCGAGGGGCTCGGATGGCTGTAGCTTGGTCAGAAACATGTCACGCAGCCCAACTCACCGGAGGCGCAGTCTCGAGCTCGTCCATGAACGTCTGGGCAAGCGTCTGATGCTGTCAGCAGGCACGTTCAAAGCGGGCAAAGCCAGGCGGCTCAAGCATAAGTGGCCGGAGACGGTGACGCACGTAGTACTTCTCCCTGTTGCGACGGAGGGTGCGCTTCCACAGCTTCTTCTCCGGAGGCAGTGTTCCGAGGAGGAGCGAGTACGCTAACGGTCGCATGTGTGACGGCGTGTCTGGGATACCTTGCCGTCAGCAGTTGCGCATCAAGCCGTGTATGCTCACCTCTAGCGCATAAGCGACGGAGCGAGTGCAGCTCGACTTTCTGCTCGAGGACGCCGCGTGAGCTGTCGAGCATGGCCTCGAATGCTCGCATTCTGTAGTCTGTCAGTTTGATGGTCACTGCCGCATCACATGGTGTTATCTTGAATCTTGTAATTTAGGGGTCACGCCAGCGGGGAGGGAATTGGAGGGTCCACGAGGAGTGCTTTGAGTGGACGCACCTTGCCTGAGAGTCGTCCTGCTGCTGTGACATGGCTTGTAGCGATGCAGCTGGCGCTGCGGCAGTCGAGGGAGTATGTGTGTGTATGAGTGTATCAAGTAACGAGTTGGTCGAGTGTGATGTGGAAGTGAGCGTGAGGAGGGTATGTCGGAATGGAATGGGAGAGGGAGATCGTGACAAGTAGGAGATCGAAGAATCAGACAAGCGAGGAGTAGTGCTTGTAGGATGGACCTAGATCCTTTGGCCATAAAGTCACGCGTCGAAGCAGGGCGCAGGGGCTGCGCGGCCAAGCGCGGCCCCCTCAGGCACGCAGCAGCACGGCAGTCTAGCAGCACTAACAGTGAGCACCCTCATACACATGGCGCGCGCGCGGCGCGTCAGGGGGTGTCCGCAGTGTGTTTCCTTACTCTGGGGCGCCAGAGAGAGGAACGACAGACGGAATCAAACCCACGCGAGGGCGATATCGGCTGTTCTCTCGTGTGCCAGGTCCGACTTCCGACCCCCGGCGATCATCTGCCCGGCTCTACCCCGGCCCGGAGTCATCATTTCGCCTGTACGGGCCCCTCGCCTGTACCTGCGTCGTCAGTCGCAACTTCATACGCCGACCGCCAGTGCCCACACACACACACAACCCAAGTCCGAGCGTCCATTTCTATCTACGGTTTACATCTCTTTATTCTTCTCTGCATCGAGGCGCCCTTGGTTTGCTCTCTCTCGTACGACACGGCGACCTCCGCTTCCTTCCTCGTCGATATAAACTCGCACTTTCGCCTCGACTCTCGCCTACTCCACCTCCACCAACCAACACTCAGCACACGACCATGCGCGTCCTCGCCTCGCGCCTGGCTCTCCGCCGTGTTGCGGCGCCGACCGCCCCGCTCGACTTGCGGCATTCCTCAAACGCCCCCGCTTCACAGCCCGCTCTCGACTCTGTCCTGACCGTCGACCTCGGCACGCCGAAGCGCACGGCCCCGAAGAAGAAGAAGACGCCTCCGGTTACACTGGCCGCCAATCCGCTCGCGAACACCTTCTCCCTCTCTGCGGCCGAGGCGAAAGCTCTGGCGCAGGACGACGTCATGCACCACGAGCGTGCCAAAGACCGCGTGCGCGAGCGTGGGGGCAAGCTCCTGCTCGAGACGCCGGAGGACTTTGTCGCCATCGAGCCCGGAGCGCTGGCGTACTGGGGCCCCCTCGCCGAGGCCGACGCAAAGTACGAGACGGAGGCGCAGAAGACGCGCCTGACGCGCATCTCGACCGCGCGGCTGCGCGACGCCTGCCCCTGCCCGAAGTGCATTCACCCGAGCACGAGGCAGAAGACGCATACCTCTGGCGAAGCCTTCCGCGAGGTGCGCAACTACGAGCTCGGAGACAAGATCAAGGCGGCGGAGCAGGACGGCGTGAAGGGAGTCGAAGTCACCTGGCCCGAGCTCGAGGGCGAGCACCGCGCCTTCTACCCCGTCTCGCTGCTGCGCCGACTCGCGTCCCCGCTCCCCCGTGGCGGGCCGTTCCAGCGTAACGGCCTGAAGCGGCAGCTGTGGACTGCCGGCGAGCTCGAGTCGCAGGCCAAGAACCTCTGGACAGACTACAAGGACCTGCAGGCCGGCTCCATCGACGGCCCGCTGCAGCCGCGCCCCGAGGTCTTCCTGCGCATCTTGGAGCAGCTGCAGGTGTACGGCCTCGCCGTGATCCGGGGCATCCCGACATCAAAGACGGGGAACAAGGACGCCAGCATCCGCGAGTTTGCCGAGGCCATCGGGCCCCTCCGCAACACGTTCTACGGGGAGACGTGGAACGTCCAGTCCGTCGCCGACAGCAAGAACGTGGCGTACACGAGCCTGAACCTGGGCCTGCACATGGATCTGTGGTGAGTAGGCGGAGGCAGCAGGCCGCAGGCCGCAGGCCGGAGCGTAGCCGGAGCGTCGGAGCTTCTCGAAGTGTACATGACCCGCGAGCTGACAGCCCAGCTACTACCAGCTCCCGCCGCGGTTCCAGTTCCTGCACTGCCTGCGCAACCGCGTCATAGGCGGCGCGTCGTACTTTGTCGACTCGTTCCAGGCCGCTGCCAATCTGCAGCAGAGCAACCCCGAGGCGTACGCTCTGCTCCAGAACCAGCGCATAACGTACGAATACGACAATGACGGGCATTACATGACGGACTCGCACCCGGTCCTGCCGGGCAACCTGCACTCCTCGCAACTGAGGACCGCCGTGTTCTGGTCTCCGCCTTTCCAAGCGCCGCCGTCCAAGATGCCGCGTATCACGCGTTTCGTCGGAGGAGGAGGAGGAGGAGGAGGAGGGGAGAAGAGTGTGGACCCCGTCGAGGCCGAGAACGCATTCTATGACGCGCTGTCCCTGTTCCAGGAGAAACTCGACGATCCCGCCCTGCGCTACGAGTTTACGATGCAGGAGGGCGATGCGGTGCTGTTTGACAATAACCGTGTCCTCCATGCTCGCACGGCGTTTAGGGATAAGACGGACGAGGAGGTCGCGAGGGACCAGACGGTCATCACGCCTGGCGAGCCGACGAGATGGCTCAAGGGGCTTTACCTGGATGGAAGCACGGTGTGGGACCGCATCAGCGTGCTCAACGACCAGGTCCGGGGTCGCCTGGCCTAGATCAGACGAGGGGAGAAGTCTTAATCTAATGGGGAGGAAGCATCTTGTAGATAGAGCAGAGTAATGCACCCAAAAAAACTGGGATACAATGTCATCCGTTGCATATCTATCGAGATCTGTTCGTCTACTGCTTCTACCTGGTGATTGCCTTACACGGCACCGGCCGCACGGTACAGGCTGATCTTCTTGTCGCCGCCCGCGACCGCGAACTGCTTCCCCGGCGCGAGCGCGCCCTCGACCTCGGGCTGCCACGCGAAACCCCACACGTCGCCGTCGGCGGATCCGTTCCACACCGCGCGACGCTCTCCAACGTCCCACAGCTTGACTGCCGAGTCGGCGCCACTGTCGTCAGCTATTTTCCCCACCTGAAAGAAAGCTTCAGATATCTCAGAGGTGACCTCGGGCACTGAATGCGCTCGCGCCTCGCTTCACTCGGTGCTTGACTTACCCGCTTCCAAGTAGCTTCGAGTCCGGGCTAGCCGCGACCGACAGCACCCATCCCTGGTGTCCCTGGAGGATGGCGACGGCTCCCTCACCGGAAGCGCCGCTCTCCGCACCAGCACGAACGTCGTGGAGGACGATACGCGCATCGTCTGATCCAGAGTACAGCCACTGGCTGTCGGGCGACCACGAAAGCGCGCGGACCGCCATCGCGTGCGCAGTGTACGTCGCAATTACGCTTGTCGTAGCGACATCAACGACGTGCACGTGGCCCGTCTCCATGCCGATCGCGAGCTGCTTGCCGTCGGGAGACTGCGGTCAGCTACACCACCCCCACGACAGCTGGTGGGGTAATTACGGGGAAGGCGAGGAGATGAGGATACTCACGTACACCACGCTCATGCCAAAGCGTCCCTTTCCGAGGTCGACGACCGAGCCCTCACCACCAAGCGCGCCTTCTCCCTCGCCAACCGGGCGGATAGCGACACGAGCTCCGCGTCCGGTCCACGCCCAGCTTCCCGCATCTGGCGCAAGCGCACCACGGTACGCAGCGAGTTCTGCTGTTAGCTAACACCGCGAAAACGGAGCCATATCACACTTCACTCGCTGCTCCCGCCAAGTCACAACAGGCGGGGAAGACGCCTGAAGAAGCCACTCACCATTCTCGCCCGCCTTCGGCGGCACTCGTCCCGTCTCGACGCGGTCGATGAACTTCTTCTCCTCAACATCGATAAGCGCGGCTGATCCATCCAGACTCGTCGCGAGGGCACGGTCGCCGGCTGCAGAAATGCTGCTGATCGCAAGCGGGAGCGCCGGCAGCTCGTCGAGAGCCTGCGTCAGGTCGGCCGGGTCGTGGAAGCGAACGATGCCGTCGGCGCCGCCGGAGATTAGGGAGCTGGTCCAGGCCAATGCCCACAGAGCGTCTTTCTGGGCTGAGAGTCAGCTTAACTCACGCGCCACTCAGCTGGAGATGACAATGCCAGTGGTGATGCCGAGGAAGACACACTTTCGCTGCAAAGGGCAGGACCGAACGAAGGTAAAGGGAAATGGACGCACCTGGTGTCTGCTCTTGCGGGAGGTAGGAAAGAGACTGTCGTTAGCTACAGGAGTCGTCGTCAAGCTCACCATCGTGCAGTTGGTGGATGGAGGTTGGCAGCATCCAAGTCTGTTGTTCTCGCTGCATACAGAGCAGCCAACTTCATGTCGATCGACGTAGTAGCGCCCGTGGGAGACCTGTGGGTGGAGGTGCCTTCCTCCACCGCAGTTATGACGAAATGTCTGCTGACGATGGCTTCGACGACTTTCACCCCCAGTCTCACGAGTCTTCCTCCTGCAACATCACTTGTCTCGAGGCCAAACGAGGACTTACCTATCTAAGCATATCACGGACATATACACACAGAGAGAGAGACGCACAATGCCGTGGCAGAAGGAATTGTGAGCTGGGAGTCGCAGTCTCGTAGCTGACAACAGCCGTCTTCCTCACTTCAAGAAGGGTATGCACCTGGTGACGCGCGAGGTCGTCCGCGAGTGTGAAGCCGGCCTGAAGGGCGTCAAGATTGGCATCTTTACGCTCAACTGCATGCACACCAGTGCCGGTCTGACCGTGAGTTATCCCGTCCGTCATTGTTGTCGGGTTAATTCCCGACACCTGTTTATAGATTCGTCGCCGCTTCAAGCTCCGGAGAGATGTTCCGTTATCACAGCGTTCAGCTCGCTGTTTAGGGTCTCAGCTGACTCCCAGGTCAACGAGAACTGTGACCCGTACGTCACCGGGAGAGCAATCCCGAGGAACAATGAGCCGAGATAAGCTAACTTGCGGCAGTGACGTGAGGACCGGTAAGTCTTTCCTTTCGGGCGAGCTCGCTGACACGCAGACATGGATATGGCGTAAGCAACTGCCGTCGCCACCGCTGACGCTAGGATGGACAAGATCGTTCCCGAAAGTTTCCCGTGGCAGCACACGGATGAGGGACCTGAGTGAGTGAGAGGAAGAGTAGTATTGACAGTAAGCGACTCGGTGTCCCACCTCAAGACGTCCATCATCGGCAACTCGATTACGCTGCCCATCCGCGACGGCAAGCTCGTCCTTGGTACTTGGCAGGGCATTTATCTCGCCGAGGTGAGTCGCAAGCGACCTGAGTGGCGGGACCGAGTGGTCAGAGCAGCGAGAGAAGCGACGGAAGCGAGCAGGGCGCAAGCCATGATGGACACCTGGTATCGCCACCCTCTGCGACGGCTGTATGCTCAGTATCCTATCGACAATGTTGACTGGAGTGGTGATGAGCGTCGATGTTGCCCGAAGACACGTTCGCTCGCCGACAGAGTCGGAGCCAGGATTGCGGTACAATGGCGTGGCTGCATTCCGTGTTGCAGGGGTAGATGCCTCACAGCTTACCCCCTCCTGTCTCAGACAATGGATGACAAAGCCGGCATGCCCGCCTACGGCCGTCTTCCAGTCACCGAAACAATGGAAGTGGCTTCTGCGGTCTCACCAAGCATGGATGCAGCAGTGCACGTGAACAGCCTAGTACACTTTATGGCTATCACAGCATTGCCGGTCATGACTTGCTCTGCCCGTAACTCTACTTGGAGCGTTGTATCAGCCGTACACCGGTGACTTTCTAGTGATCTCGGATCCGGCATGGCCCCCGAGTCGGGTTGTCCAAGACATGGCACCGCCCACGGCGCCCATGGTGGAAGATCTGGACTGATCCCGCTACTTGTAGCTCTGGCGCTGCGCCGAGAGTGCCGAGAGATCGCGAGATCGTAGGAACCGCCGCTGACATCACAGTTCCGGTACTCTGGCAGCGGCTGGGGAGGCCACGGCGAGGGGCGCAAGGTAGTTGCGACCATCCTGTGAGTAAGCTTGTGTACGCTTGTGCGAGCGGGCCGAGTGCAGGTGTAAGCGTAAGCGCAAGTATTACATCAGATGACTCTGCTGTGAGCGCCGAGGGCTGTAGTCAGCGATGGGGGGTTTCAGCTGCCTACTAGTGCAGACGAGCGAGCCGAGCCGAGCCGGACAATGCTCCTGTGTGCTCGTGCGCCCCCCGGGGCTCTGGCGGAGCGTGTGCCTTCTGATCTGCAGGCGTTTGGTCCGACCGGGCCTAGTGATGCTGCAGATCGAGCTTGCATTTGCTGAGTGATAGCCGGCGAGAGCGCCGGTATTCAGCCATGCAACTTTGCCTATCACACACCGAGGGCAGCCGGTAAGCGCTGCACGCTGGTAGGCTGGTAGGCGCTCGGAAGGGCCGACACCGAGAGCGTGGGTGCGAGTGCATGGCAACCGGTGCCCTCCCCCTGGCAAAGCTCACCGCTCCTTGAACCTTGTGCATTGAACAGCCCAGCATGCCCAGTGCTGCATCGGCATTCAGCGGCCGTGGTTGTGGGCTGCGACGCACGCAGAGAGGGTTCCCCTGGTGTGCCAGTTGTTGTCTGTGCTAATCCCAGGCCGTGATTGGTTGTAGACGCCACGGGCCCAGTGCCTGCCCGCTCGATGCATCTTATCGCCTCAGAACCCCGGCACATGGGAGACCCCCCTGTTGCCATGAACCCTAGAAGCTTGGAGCGATGCACAAGAGCGAGATGAGCAATTGAGTCGCCGACGTGGGCGTACGCGGGGGCGTGGCTGCTGCATCTGAGCGGTGACTTTTTGCACAGGCGACGCAGCCGAGGGACCAGAGCAGAGGAACGAGATAATGCCATGACGCAGGCACCGCTCCAGACCTCAGCATCACATCACTCGGCACTCGTCCAGGCAGGCATCACTCAGGCGCAGTACGCAGCTACCCAGACTCTCCTTACTGAGAAGCTAGCGGAGCATCCATCGCGCCCGTGGGCACCCCCCCC